CAAATCACCGATGGGATAGTACTGCAGGTCAGGCCTCTGGGCACAGGAGTGGAGCCCTCATGACTGGGATTGGCACTCTGATGAGAGGCCCCGGAGAGCTCCCTTATCTCCTGCCAACAGGAACCAGAAACCTGGCCTCCACTAGACACCACGTTGGCCGTTCTCTTGATCCTGGATTTCACAGGCTCCAGAGCTATGAGAAATAAATTTCCACTGTTTATAAGCCACCCAGCTTATTGTATTTCATTACAGCAGCCTGAATGAATGACAGGGTCCACGGGTAATATCATCAGTACTGCTCGGTGGTTTCTGCTACGTCTACTACGACCGCTGTCCTGACCTCCACTGCCAGAATCGTTACTTTCAGTACGGTTAGTTGTGGTAATACTAGCTACACGTGTGAGAGCTTTTACTTCATGGCCAGCACTGTGTTAAACCCTTTACAAATACCACTGGGTTGTTTGAAAAGCCATGACCTATTTTTTCCTGTGTTTTACTAAGCAAAAATGCGTCATGACTTCTCCAATGACCCAGTATCTCACTGAGCCAACCCCGTAGTCTAGTGGTTAAAAGAGTCAGGTGACTACATGACCTACCATGCAGTTCGACTCCCAGACCCAGTGACTTGAAAAATGTATCATGTGTGGGCATGTACGTGCCCCAAATCCCAACAGGATGAATGACAGAGAAGGGATTGTGGCATGCGCACTGCCCACTGGGGGGCGCTTTCTCCTCTCCCCATTTGTTTCTCTCAGGCAAGAACACATGCCCCCCAGCAAATATAAAAAACAAGTGAAAAAATTATCTCACTGACTCTTCACAAGCATCCTGTAATGGGGCTGTGTTAGTACTTCCACTTGACAGTTGACAAAACAAGACCAGAGAATTAAAGTGACCTGCCTAAAATCACACAGCGAGGGGAACTCTGAACCCAGACCTGCCTTACCTGGAAGTCCCATGCCTTCTGTCACACCACACCTCAGCCTAGAACCTCATGGCGCCGAGATCTGAAGAGAGGACTCCAAGCTTGTTCCCCACTTTCAATCACATATTCTAGAATTAAATACTCTCAGTACAGAAAGCTCTCTTCTCAAATAGCTTCCTGACATGCTTTCAAATGGATATGTTAATCCTACTGCCTGTGGCTCCTGGGTTTTCAAATATATACGCTAAATTTGTTTATTTTGACCATGAGGGCCTCTCCCTTGCATATCCTCAAACAGCTTTTATTCAGAAGTCCCCTTTTAGGGAAGGGAAGACATAAAACTGAAGCTTAAAAACCAAGGGGTGGGTCGCCTGGTCTCTGCCTGGCAGACATGCTCCCTCTTTTCTTCCTTTAGTAGGTGATTTTTTTCCTTTTTTTCTCTGGTTTTTGTTATAGGGTGTGTGTGCTCACTGGAGAGACACAGAGACAATGAGAAAAAAAGTAAGATATCACCCCCCCCCCTGGCGGGGGGGGATACCTACACCGTAATCCCTTCTCCATTCTCCTCTTGGGATTTTGGACATGCACACACAGGAACCTGGTGTAACTTTTCAAGCTGCCAGATTTTTTAAAGAAACAGCTAGTCGATCACATTGCAAAAAAATTCCCAATTGTGGTCTTATCTCCACAATAAATTATGCTCTAATAAACCAGAAGTTTTTTTTTTTTTTTTTTTAAGAGAAATTTCTACTCAAGGGCACATGCAATTGTCAGAGAGACCATGAAAATCACCCCCCAGGGGGGATGGCCATTTCGCAATCTATTCTCCTCCATTCTCCTCTCAGGATTTTGGGCACATACGCACACGAGCCCAACGTGAATTTAAGGCTGCCGGGTCCAGGACTCAAACTGTGGTCAACTACGTGGGAATCCAGTGACATAACCAGTATGCCATCTGCTGTCCTAATAAACCAGTATTTCTAAATCTAGAACTTGTCCTTGGCAGATGCTTGACTGCCTAAGTTACTGTGAATTCTCTAGAAGGAAGATTCTGTGCAGAGCATTCTCTGAGAACTCTGCCCACGGGAGAGAGAAAGTGCTGGTATCTGCGGTCTGTCTGGTGGGTCTGAAGCCCAAGCTCACAACCAGGACAAAAAGCAATGTCCACAGTGGGGCTGTCCTGCCCACACAGTGCAAAGAAATATCCAGGAGCTTGAGGAAGTAAGAAGACAGAACTCAGCTCTTTCTAGGGTTTGGGGCTTTACTTTAGGAATCAATAAAGTTTCAGAAGCATTAAATAGACTGACAGACTTAGAAAAACCAAACACCACACACAGACACACACACACACACACACACACACACACACACAAACCCTTTCATCTTTATTACCATTTCGCAAAGAAAATAAAATTTATAAACAAAAAGCCGGCCAGATGGTGGCACAGCGTAATGCGACACTTGATGCAGCTTGGTGGGAAGGTTCTGGGCTGGCATCTAGGGGCTTCCCCAAACATGCTGGGTACACACAAACATGATCTAAGACGGGCGGAGGCTGGTGTGGGCCCTACTGGGGATGCCTCTCTTTCTCAGTTGCTAATGAGAAAAATAAAACTTTAAAAAAAAAAAAAGAAAGGAAAATCAGGACCAGCAGTTAGCATAATGGCTATGTCGCTGAACTCCCATGTAGTCGACTACGGTATGAGTTCCAGACCCAGTGGCTTAAACTCATGCCGGGCGCCTGTGCATGCATGCCCAAGATCCTGATGGGAGAATGGAGAAGGATCGCAGCATGACCATCCCCCTGGGGGGGTGATTTCTCGTTTTCTGTCTGTCTCTCTCTCTGTCTTTCTGGCGAGCACATGCACCCTATAGCAAAAACCCTCTCAAAAAAAAACAAAAACAAAAAGAAAGAAAAGCTAGAGACTCTGGGACCAGCAGGTGGCATGGTGGTTAAGAGTGCTGGAATCCCACATGGCCAACTGTGGTTCAAGTCCCAGACCTGGCAGCTTGCTTTCTCTCTCTCTCTCTCTCTCTCTCTCTCTCTCTCCCCCTCCCTCCCTTCCTCCTTCCCTCTCTGTTCAAATTAAAAAATAAATAGTTATGTAAAATAATTCTTTAAAAAAAAAAACAAAAGCCAGAGACTGAGTAAAAGACAATTCTAAGAGTTAAACTTTCTGAGGAAGCACACTCACACTGAAAAGGCAGGCAGACACGTAGACAGCTTCCTTATTTTTCTTCATTTCCTGTGAATGGGAAATCCTTGCTCTGCTGGGTTCCAGACCACAACTGGGCCCTGAAGCAGCACACGACTAGCTCAGATGATCATTCTCAGCTTGCCCTGCTCATTCCAGAGGCCCATCTCAGCCAGTCCAACTAGGACAAACCAGCTGGCCTTTCCTGGATCCCTTCCCAGGTCCCCAACAGACCCCATTCCCACCAGGCATCTCCTGCTAAACCACCACCTGTGTGCCTGCAACATCTCCTGCATTTCCGGCAAATTCCAGACAGAACTTCTGCAAACTCTAGTTCTGGAAAATAAATGACTCCCTCCACACAATGTGTCCCACAGGGTTCTATCTATGCACACCCTGCGAGAAAGGTCCAAGTCCTAGCACGTTCAGCAAAAAGGGATCTCAGGAGCACAAGTGTCTCCTACCTAGGGAAAAGTGAAGAGAAACAAGCAGCGTTTTATTATCACAGCATTAAAACAGGAACCATTCCCAGAGAAGAAACAGATCAGTTACATAAGAGAAGTCTGAGGTCCTTCCTAGAAATAATTCATTTTCTGGTGAAGTTCTAGCCACTAACTCATATTAAAATCAAGTCCACAGTCAATAGATCTCGAGAGACTACCTCCTTCCGATAAATCAGCCATTCCACAGAGAGATGCAGGCATTGTGAGAGCCAAACCTTTCTAGGTAATAAGCAGCCAGGAGTTCAATGCACTTTAGAGTATAAGCTATCAGTAAGTCGCAGCAGTACACAATTTAATAAATAAGACAGTGCAGTAACACATCCCTAAGAAAAACAGAAAGAACCAGACATATTAAACCTTACATATTTAATTACCAGGAAGCCCTTTTAAATCTATGTGAAAACTAGGGCTTTTGGGTCAGTTTTTAAAATTTGCTAGAAGGCACATGTGCTTGCCAAAAAGAGAGAAAGAGAAAGGTGAGAAAGCACCTCCCATGGGGAATGGTTCCACTACAATCCCTTCTCCTCCATCTCCCCCCTGCCCCCAGGGACTGTGGGCATGCACACACAGACGCCTGGTGTTCTGAGCTGCCGGGACCAGGACTTAAACTGCGCAGTCAACCATGTGGGATCCAGCCGTCTTAACCACCATGCCACCAGCTGGCCCAAATCTGGGTAGGTGTTTTTTTGTTTTTTTTTTTTAACTTAAAAGAGCTGCTCTTGAGTTCCCTACTTCTTTTTTCGTGTTTACTCAGATGTGCCTCTATCGCCTTTCCTCTGTGAGATACTGACAGGCACACAGGCATTCCTCTTTGAATGTAAGCACCTGGCACAGGTCTGGCACAAACCACGGCTGCAGAGAGTAAGAGGAAAAAAACAAGAAGGTGAACACAACGAATCTCATGACACTTTTCTTTTTCCGCATTTTTCTCATTTATCACCATAGCAAGAGGTTTCAAAACACCTGGGCTGGGATGGGGGAGGAGGGGCAGCAGGTGGCAAAATAGTTAAGGTGCTGCATCCCACATGGCCAATTCCACAGTTTGAGTCCTGGACCCAGCAGCCTGAAAAACATGCCAGGCACATATATACATGTGTGCCCAAAACCCTGAAAGGAGAATGGAGAAGGAATTGTGACATGGCCATCCCCCCAGGGGCTTATTTCTCTTCCTCTCTCTCTCTGGAGAGGGTACACACCCTATAGCAGGGCGGATGAGAGATGACTCAGCCAGAGCTCTAGGGGTAGGTAAGGCCGATACACCCCTTCCACATTATGACATGAATCTACACCCTGCACTCATGCCCCCACTAAGGAGAATTTGGCCATGCAGAAGCCACCATTTAGGAGAGAACTGTGAGGAAACAGAGCGGCGCTTGCCTTTTCATCCTGGTACAACTTGTTGACACTCTCCAGCTGGAAGTTGTGGCTGGACTGGATTTTGTCGAGCTGTTCCCGTTGCTTCTCCAGCTCTCCCTGGAACTCGTTCTTCTTCAGCTCCACAGCGCCTCTCTCAGCGGCCGCCCTGCGGACCCTACCTTCCAGCTCCATGATGCGCGTCTAGGAGAAGAGCACAGCGTGAGGCCCATGCCAATCCACGGTGAGACCACACTGGTGGGGCTCCCTCCACAAAGAACACACGAGAGCCCAAAGCCTGCACTTGGCCTCACGTGAACACACGATCACCGTCCAAGGACCCAGGTTGTAAGGCAACGTGGAGAAGCCAGGATAGAACGTTCTGGAGAAATGGTGCTATGAGTGGAAGCATGTGCTTCCCTGAGCTTCCTTGTCCCCACTGCAAAAGGGAAATGCTGCCACGGCCTCGCAGGGTTTCTGTGAGGTTTAAATGAGGTACGTCCGGAGAATGCTTCATGCTTTCCTGGGCTCGAGGCAGTGCTCACATATTTAGTCCCTTTTCACTGCTAGCAAAGCCCTAGCAACTGTTTACCAGACAAAACTTCTGAAAACGGACGCAGTTCTCAAACTCCAGTCACCAAGACATCACCTGCCTAGAAGAGGGCTGGACAGAAGCTCAGTCTCAGGGACTACACCCGGGTGGCTGAGCCCAAGAGTAGGATCGCACACAGGGACCAGGTGTGTGTAGGCAGGACCCGGGCTCCACCTGTTCTTCACCTCCCTATGACTCAGTGTGCCCACCTGAGAAATGCAGAAAGTCCACTCCCAACCGTGTAGGGTTTGTGTACAGAAGCAGATTATTTGTGTAAAGTGCTGTTAAAATAAAATTCATTCCAAGACAGCTTATGGCGTTGTGGTGAGGTCAGCTAGACCTCATATGGCCGACTGCACGGTTCAAGTCCCAGACCCGGAGGCCTTAAAAACATGCAAGGTATGAGTGCATGTGTGCCCCAAATTCTGAGAGAAAGGAGAAGGGACTGTGACGTGGCCCTCCTCCCTGAGAGGTCATCTCTCATTCTCTCTCTCTCTCTGTTTCTCTCTAACAAGTGCATATGCCCTCTGGCAAAAATTATAAAGAAAAGGAAAGTCATCCTGACACTTGTTAAAATGGGAAGATTTTGTTGAAGACTATTGTAACAAAAGCCATAACAACTGCAACAAGGGAGAGAAACCGCACGGGGTGGGAAATTACCAAGACCCATGGCGGGGGGTCTGTTCCTGCAGAACTGACCTACCAGGATTCTTGCTAGCAGCAGGCCAAGGACTCAGACACCAAGGGTGGGGGATTCTTACTAAACTTGGCCAACAAGATCCTTGCTACAGAAAGGGCAGGGCCTCAGAGGGAAGGATAGAGGGTCACCCAGCAAGAAATTTTGCTATGACTGGGCTGGGCAGGCCAAAAACTGGATGGGAGGTATGGGACCAAGATGGAGGCCTGTCCAGAGGAGGGCTCAGAGGAGCCTGACTGAAGTTTGGTCAGGAAGTCTCTGTGGGGGTCAGCAGGTGGCATGCAGTTAGGGTGCTGGACTCCCACATGGCCAACTGCAGGTGGAGTCCAGGCCTTGATGAGTTGTTTTCTTATTTTCCCTCTCTGTCTCTCTCTGGTGAACATGCATGCCCTGTAGCAAATTTTAAAAAATATAATGAAAAATAAAATTAAATAAATAATTTTTTTAAAAAATGTCTGTCACTGCTTAGCACCGAGCCTGACCCACAATGGGCAACAAGAAACAGGAAAGCTAAAACTACTATCATCGTTAACAACACCAGGACCTTTAAAAGCACATGTCCAACTCTGCTGTGACGTCTTGTGTGGACTGAGGACTGAGAACAGGTCATGGCCACTGTACTTAAGCAAACTGTCTTTCTTCCCAGAACCACCCCAGATGGCTCCACTAAAAACTATTAAGTTGCAGGAAAAGCAGAGAGGATGTTTTGACAACAATCGGAGACAGTCCCAGAGGGTTCTCTCCCACCAGGACAGCGCTGGTGTGCCCGGGGCTGGGGTCGAGACACGCGGAGTTGAAATGAACGTTCCAGCGTGTCTGCTGAGCCCGATGCCTAAGGAAGCACCCCAGACCCTGCACCAGCAACTTCATTAACTACTCCATGGCGTCCGTACCAACAAAACAAACAAATCACCTGGAGATCCACGCTGCGGGAGCTGGCGATCCAGTAGTTGAAGCCCAAGACAATGATACAGGCCACCAGGGCGGCCAGCACGAGGGGCGGTGACTTCATGCTGCGACGCCCGTTGCCCAGTCCCATCATCTCAAAGCCGGGGCTGGGGCCCTGCCGAATAAAGCACAGAAGAAGCCTCAGTCCCCACATCAGCACCCTGAAAGGGGGCCACATCCAAGGTCACGACCTACAGAGAAGACTGCTGGCCGGGAAGCATGGACTGGCAGGTTCCCCTTGGCACGTGAAGCTGTCACGTGAGTGGCTCGCCCAGAGCCTGCAGTTCCATGTGCCCTGGAGGTGTGGCTGGTGCTCAGGATGGAATCACAGGAAATTCCTGGCCCTGAAGCCCGTTGGGAACCAGCTCAAGACCTCAGGCAAGGAACAATTTCTCTTACACTTCAGGTTCCTCGTCTGCAGGATGGCTGGCATTACAACACTCACCTCCCCAGTACAGGTTAAGGGCTAATTTAATCACTTCCAATAGCAAATATCAAGTGCTTCCACATCAGGAGGAATACGTTTCTCACTACTCCCGACAAGACTTTTTAATATGATTCCTAACAAGGAAGGGTTGTTTACCAGAATTAGTAATGACACCTAATTAACGGCTCTCCTGGGCCAGCTGTTGGTGTGGTTGCAGTGGCTGCATCCCACGTGGCTGTCTGTGCTATTTGAGTCCCAGACCCAGTGGTTTTAAAAACACACAAGGTGCGTGTGTGTGTGCATGTCCCTAAAATCCTGACAGGAGAATAGAAGAGAAGGGACGTGTGGTGTGGCCATCCCTCCTGAGGCGATTCCCTGCCTCTCCCTTCAGCAAGCACACATGACTTACAGTAAACTTAAAACATGACCTGAGGTCACCAGGGGAACATGTTCCATTAAGATTCAAGGTGGAAATGGGACAGACACATACTCTGTGCCCAGAGAGCGCCCTGTCCTTCGAACATTCCATTTGGAGGCCAACCATGCAGTTCCAGTCCTGGATCCGGCGGTTTGGCAAATGCACCAGGTGCGTGTGCGTGTGAGCCCGAAATCCCAAGAGGAGACCAGGGTAGAGGGGAGTGCGACTGCAGCACAGGGAGCCTCGGGAAAACGTGAGGACAAACATCAGCAGAAAAGCGCTACAAACGTTCCTCGTGAGCTTCAACTCAGGTCTGGCTGAGCGGTGAGAGCCCTGGTGGCAAGAAGAAGGAAAGTCGACTTTTCCAAATGCTCTTGCTGAGCTGGACAAGCAGTCTTACCAGAGTAAGTGGGATGCATTGCATACACCGTCACTCGGAGCACAGAGAGCCTTTTATGGCAGGTGTGGCCAGCAACGGAGGAGGAAGAAGCGGAGGAGGAGGAGGAAGAAGAGAGGGAGGAAGAGGGGTGCAGGAGGGTAGAGGAGGAGAAAGGGAAGAGGGGAAGGGGAGGAAGGAGAGGTGAAGACTCATCTGCCAGACAAAGTCCTCCAGTGACGGAGCTCATTCTCACCCTGTGGTCTTTCCAAGTGTGTCATCAAAAGGCATCTTCCTTCTTTTTTTTTTTTTTTTTTTTTTTTTTTT